ACTTCTCCACCGAAATGAATGGGAATATTATTTCTATATGTGCCTATTGTCATGGCTTATATATTCCTATTGCCATGCAATGACTTATATATTCCTATTGCCATGTACATTATAGAAATTAGAGCTCATCGACAATAGAAGAAGAAATGAAAATAAAGAGCTTATATGTGCCTATTGCCAAGTACATTACAGCTTCAATCATTTGGATTTACAAAATCCAAGGCTGGCTGGATTTAAGTTAAATCCAAGGCTAAATTCAATAAATAGCATGCAATCAAGCACTATCTAAGCTGAAATTTTAAGCAACAAAAGTCTACTGTTCAAAATGATCAGGTAAGATAAAATACGTACTGGGAAGCAAATTGTTGTCACTGTCTCGAGTACCCATTATTGCTCTTGAATCCCCCAAGTTTCCTATTATGAGATCCTGTCCCTAGAGAAGCGTAATTTACAGAAAAATTAACTGCTCCCAATTTGTTCAAGGTAAAACCGATGCTCAATATTTTGAAAAGCGGTTTGAAATTTGGCATGTTGCAATTCTTTAGCAACAACACAATTGCTACATCCGATTAGTTCCAATAACAGGTTGAAAAATCCAACTCATAAGATGAAAGATCTTGCATACTGGAAAAAGCAAGTCATTTCACAGAGCTTTAAGTGTTGAAATCAAAATGGTTGACTGGGACATTTAAAATGAAGGGTAAAATAATTCACCCCTTAAATGGATAGATAAAATTAACAACAAAAAATTAAAAAGGAAGGTTGACCTAAGAAAATAAACTGTTCAAACACCACAAGTTAAACCATGGGGAAATTATTCTCAATACCACATCCATGCAGTAATACGATAGATAAATGCAAGTGATTAAAGGTACAATAATAATGAAAACTCTTGTATAGAGTAGAAATGACTAAGCTGCTTCATATATCTGGTAGTTGAATATTAAGCTTTTCCTCATCAATGATCTCTTGCTGAAAAAAAATAATATAAATAAATGTTAGTATGTAGCATTGAGAATAAATAAAATAAACGAGAAAGTAGAAAATGATATAATTAATGAAAGAATTACCATAAGTGTCTTTGCATTTTTTTGAGCGGATCGAAGCCAACTAGAGGCACAAATCAATGCATTAACGGTTTTAGTGGATAAGCTACTTCTGTAATCATCTAATACTCTACCACCAGCACTAAAAGCAGATTCTGAGGCAACAGTGGTTATGGGTATTGATAGAATATCTCTTGCCATAATTGAAAGCCGGGGATACTTCAATGTATTCATCTTCCACCAATCAAGAACATCAAAGTTTTCACTTGAGCACACAAATAATCCCTCCTCAAGGTATATCTGTAAATCAGGTTTCGAAGGTTCTACAGATCCAGAAGCTACAACAAAATCTTGAAACCCAAACATAACGTCAAACTGAGTTAAGGAACTCATAGAATCACCAACAGTTGAAGAACCCTCATTTGAAACATTACAATCAACAACATAAACTGCATAAATCTCCCATAATGTATCTTGAACTATTTTAAGATTTTGTTCAACCTCACTATGTGAGTATATTTTTGGGAATGTGTAGCTAATAAATTTGAGTTTCAATCTAGGATCCAAAATTGCTGCAATAGAAATTAAAAAATTACATTCCCCCCAATATTTGTTGAATTTGATTTGCATACACATAACCATATTTCTCATAAATTCATCTTCTGACAATGACTCCTCAATCAATATCTTTTTAACATGCAAAACTGCAGGTAAAAATATATTTGAAGTAGGATATATAGTGCCTGAGATCATCTTTGTGACATTATTGAAAACTGAAAGAAATTTTCTGAT